GGGGTAGACCAATCTCCGGCTGCCATGCCCAGTCCAGGGAGAGTGTGGGGTTTGCTTTGGCGGCCGAGTAGACGACACCGGAGTAAGAGTAGCGATCTACGATGACTGTCGTACCGCTTGCGATATCCTCTTCGATGCCCTTTGCTATCTCCCACCGGTTTGCCGAGAAGAGAAGGTGGATGGAGTGGTCGTCTTGGTGGGATGAGCCGCGGAGGTAGCTATCGATTAACTTGCCGATGGGCGTTGTCCTGTCTGCAGAGTTATTAGACCAATGGCACAATTACAGAACACAGTTCAGATGAATACCTGGAAATCGAATGTATTTCACAACATGCCCCTGCTCTGAGAGGAACCCTCGTAGCATCTCGCATTGACTTGACTTGCCGGCGCGGTCGAGTCCCTCCACGACAATGAGAGCTCCGCGTCGCGTCTGCGCTGGTAAACCGGTCATAGTTGAGGATGTGAATATAATATTGTGTGTAATTGGCATTCACTCATTAATATTGTAAAAGTCAGATCTCTCGGAATATGACATTAGTCCAAGATGTCCAAATGTTGTCCAAGTCCAAGGGATGTTTATCAGCAAATCGCATTTTCTCCCGATAAGATCAACCCCGAAGGCTTCACCACAACCACCAGCAGCCATGGACGAAAAGCCCCCAATGACATTCAATCTCCTGGGCTCGGCAGCTCCAGTTCTCGCACCGCGGGTAGGCCAATTATCCATCCCTGGTCGCAAGGTAATCACAACGCCGCACCATGTCCCGCTCACGTCGCGGGGCACAGTGCCTCACATCGCACACGATGTGATGCGCGACCACACGGCGATTAGCAATTTATATATCGGACTCGAGGATTGTAAGTGACATCTCGAAGAGATCATCATCCTCTGGCCCATCCATCAAGACCATATCTGACAGTGCATGCCCACCCGGGCTTAGAACAGTCATCGAGAGAAGCGACTCTGCACCCGTATACAAAACACCAGCCGCGGCGCACGAGTCTCCCCTGAAAAAATTCACCTGCCTACCTAATGACATGCCCGTGATCCTTGGCCCGCGGCGGTTTCCCGCGATTGTATGCCCGCCTCCTAACACGTCGACTTCTATCGCGCTGTCTACCTCCATTGGATTCCGCCAACTTCCCGCGAAACAATATGTGGAAGCTGTGAAAAAGCTGAGGCCGGATATTACAATCGGAATGGCAGACCTGGTTCTGGGAAAACCCCCTGGGAATAAGAGGCGCGAGAAGATGGTTGATCGTACGCATGCGTTTACTCGCGATGGGTTAGAGCAGTTATACGGAAACACTGTTGCCGAGAATGGCAAGTCAAAGACTGCATTCTTTGCACCGGTCTTACCGCTGGATAACGCACAGCAGTCGCTTTATCTGGAGGATTTGGAATCTGAGTTCCGGTGGGATATATCCGGTCTGGCGCTTTACGAGGCTGCCTCGTTGGAATTCATTCCTGCTTCTTTGGGGGATTTGCCGCGCTTGCTGTTTAGTGATCCTGCGACTCCTCATGATATCTTGCGTGAGATCTCGCTTGGTGCTGATCTTTTGACGACGCCTGTGTTGGGTGCTTCGTCGGATGCTGGTATCGCGCTGGACTTCAAGTTTCCGGCTCCAGTTGCGCAGGACTGCGATAAGCAGCCTATGCCGCTGGGAGCTGATATGTGGTCTGCTGAGCATGCGACTGATGTTTCTCCCCTGGCTGAGGGATGTGTCTGCTATGCTTGTCAGAAACATCACCGGGCTTATTTCCATCATTTGCTGGCTGCGAAGGAGATGTCTGCGTGGGCACTTCTTCAAATTCATAATTACCATGTTTTGGATCTCTTCTTTGCGGGAGTTCGAGAGAGTATTCAGCATGGTACCTTCGAGCAGAATGTTGAAGCGTTCGCTCGCTTTTATGCCTCTGAGATGCCGGAGAGCAGTGGCCAGGGTCCTAGGTATGTCACTTTCAATGTGATTACCATATGAGATGACAGCCTTATTCATCTCATAGTTTCTTTATTTGGTATCACTTTGCTAACTATTTCATAGGTTACGTGGCTACCAACTCCCAGCCCCGGGAGCTCACCAACCACGCCGCATACCAAAGGTATATGGCCGTCTTGAAGAAGTCATCGACTCATCTTCAGTTGTGACGCCTGACACCGACGCGAGCGGTCTCGAGGAGCACGGATTTGCGCAGAAGGCATAACCTCCAAACAAAACCTCTTGCATGAGCGGACCTGTTTATAGAAGCATTTGCTTGTAACCCAGCGTATCAATGAATATAAACGAACCCATAAACAAGACATGCATATTCATAATATTCATCTCAATTGCATGGAGGTCAAGACTACTATACAGAATCCATATTTTGTACCATTCATATCTCATATGTCCAGGCTTGCCCTCATTAAACCATCAACATCATCTCCATCACCAAGGGTATATCTAGATTCCAATTGGGAGGCGGAAGTGGGGGATGCAATCTAAGCATCCTCGCCCGCCAACACTCGCCACATCCACTTGACCTCGTCTTCCTCCTCCTTCGAGCCGCGCTTGGTTCCAGCGCCGAACTGCTGGCCAACGACGCAGACGAGCCAGGCGTCATTCTTGGTGGTGTCAAGGTAGGTTTCGGTGGGCGAGCCGCGGGGGTAGATGCGGCGCCATTCGTCCCAGATTCGGAAGGCTTCTTCTCCCCAGGCGCGGAAACTGACCTCTTCGATGATGGTGGGTGTCACGATTTCCTTGCCGCGGAAGACGCCCCATGTAACGGCGTTGACGCTCTCTGGGTTGGAACCGAGGTCGTCCAGCTCGACATCGGCAGGCTGGGCTGGAAGCGAGGATTCAAAGGCTCCTGTGATGTTTGTAGCGAACCAGGTCAGCTTGTTGTGACCGTGCTGGGCGAACAGTGGCTTGAGGATATTGATGTAGTCGTTGCTCGAGCAGAAGAACTCGACGAAGGGCTTCTGGAAGACGAAGCCCTCGCGCTGAGGGCCCCAGCCGAAGATGTGGTGGTCACTCTTCACGCCATTCACGGCGGGCTGCGAGGCCAAGGTCCACCAACCGCGGCCGTCAATGAGCTTGAGGAGTTCTGGGCGAATCAATTCGGTCTCGGCGTTCAAGCCACCACTGCCTTCTTCGGCACCACCCTCTGACCACGGGACCATGTGTAGCTCTCCCGAGACGTGGCGCCGGAAGAGTGTGCTCATATCTGATGAGTCCACTGGGTGTCCCCATAGTCGGCGAGCGGCAGCGGAAGTGACATGAAGCGAAGGACCGTAGCCGTCAATTTCGCCGAAAGCAGGCGAGCGAGCATCACCCCATCGTCCGTTGGGGAAGTCGTCCCATGTTGCTTCTCTACCAAGCGAGCCCAGACCCTCAGAAATCTGGAGGGTAGTGCTGCGGTTGGGCTGCATGGGCATACCTACACTGTCTGCAAGGGCCTCGTGCACGGAATCCTGTGATGACTCGTGCACAGATAGCTTGTCCACGATAACCCGGTTGTGAGGCTGCGAGTGCATAGACGACGCACGGCTTCTTCCCAATGCACGGCCGGGAAAATCGAGAGGGGCACCCTCCTCGATAGCAGAGTCGTCCATCTCTGAGTAAGGAGGGATCAAGTCGGATTGCTCCAAAATGAACGACACCGTCTTCTCCAGGTTCAAGGTGTAGAAGTGGAATCCCCGCGGTCCAGGGCAGGGGAGATCTTTGATACCACCCACGATCTCACTGACAATGTCCACACCGGCACGCTTGACTGCATCATCATCGTGCTTCAGCTCTTCCATACGTCTGGAGATCGGGGGAGGGATGGTGACGTGGCTGAGCTTGGTGACCCGGGTCAGGATCTTGTAGCTGTGAATGGGCATCAAGCCCGGGATGATGGGAATAGTCTTGAAAGCACCCGACTCATGGTTGCGGAGCATGTCTTCAAATTTGGTGTAAGCATCGATATCGTATGTCAATTGGGTCATGATGAAGTCTGCGCCGGCGACTGTCTTCTCAACCAGATAGGGAATGTCTCTCGCCGGATCCTGGATATCTTGGAAGGCATCGGCGGGATGGCCCTCGGGGTATGCAGCAACACCAACACAGAAGTAGTCTCCATGCGTCTTGCGAATGTACTTGACAAGATCAACTGCAAAGGTGAAGTCCTTGTTGCTATCGTCCTCCCCGTGCATGTTGTACTCCTCACTGCGGGGCGGGTCTCCACGCAGAGCCAGGATGTTGCGGAGTCCAAGAGCTTTGGCTTCGTCAAGTGCCATATCCACCAGCTTGCGGCTCATGTTGGTACAAGTCAAGTGCAGGACCGTTGTTAACTGTAACTGGCGTTGGCATACTTCGGCCAACTCGAGCGATCGTGCCGCTGTGCTACCACCAGCACCCCAGGTGACCGTCACAAACAGCGGACGCAGAGCCTGAGCCATCCGCTCCAGACGCGCAGACAGGTTGGCGAAACCCTACATGATCCATAATCGTCAGTGACTTCACATATTTGCGCACGCGGGGTTACCCCACCATCCGGGTCTTTGGAGGGAAGAACTCCAGGGAGAAGTAGTTGGCATCTGGCGGCAAAGCCGCAATCTTCTCTGTGATTTTCTTCTCCATTGTGTCTAGGGAGTGTATGTGGAGAGGGGTTGGATGAGGAAGAAGAGAGATTCGGGCAAAAGTGGACCATGTCACAATTCTGGCCGATTGCGTCGGATACTGCAATGTCTACAGCTGCCGAGGGGCCACGCACTAACGATCTACTAGATGTACACCACGTGCATAAAATGCTTGAATGGCCGATTTCTATCATGCAAGGAGTAGTAACAGCTGAAGAAAAAGCAGCTGGAAGCCAGCCTGCAAAAGTGGCACGGGATCCAAGATGACTCAGCCCGATATCGATCGAGGTGTTTACTGCTTAACAGCGATTAACTTGGATACTTCCATTGACCGCAGTCGAGCTTCATTGGACATAGACGTTTTTTTCTTTCAGAGCTGTGGCGCAATTCCCTATGATGGCATCCCGTCCACCGAACATTCTTCGCTATATCCGTTTGCAGGTCCGGCATAGCAGACCACGCGCTGTGTCGCGACGTACCCTGTCCACACCCTCTCCTTCACAACCTCCACAGCCACCCAATGTGAACGCCAATGACTCCTGGTCTCGTCTGCGTCGGTTCAATGATCGTCTCCCCCGCTTTCTCCGCAATTATACCACCCCCTTATTCGGCGCTCCGGTCACCCACATCACATCATTCCTAATACTCCACGAGATCACGGCTATACTCCCACTATTCGGGCTAGTTGGTGCCTTTCATTATGGTGCATGGATGCCGGACCTTTCCTCGGAGACAGGCGAGACCAATGCCTTTGACGAGGGGGCTGCGCGTTTTGGTCGCTGGTTGAAGAAGAAGGGCTGGGTGGACCAGGATGATGTAAATACTGTCGCGGAACACGAGGCTACTGGGGAGAAGAGAACGGAGCGTGCGGGGGTGCGATTGGTCCTGGAATTTGCAACGGCCTATGCAATCACCAAGGCTTTGCTGCCGGCTCGGCTGGCAGCGAGTGTATGGGCCACGCCGTGGTTTGCAAGGACCGTTTTTACACCTACGACCAACCTAGCCAGGAGGCTGTTCCGAAGAGGTTGAGCTAGTCGAGCATTACTGTGATACCAGAGATCGATGTTCATAAATCATATGAAGTTGTATATTGTTTATTTTTCCAAGCCATCAGGGACCTTCCCTCGGACTCGCGGCGTTATTTTATGCTGCAAGCACCCGAGGATTGGCATCCGTCAGACCAAGTCACTTGGAAACGAGTAATTTACTCGTAAACCCAAGGGGAAGCAGCGGACTTCCACTTGAGGACCTCGGAGGGAGTGAACCAGAGGCCAATCTCCTTCTTGGCGTTCTCGACGGAGTCGGAACCGTGGCAGACGTTGCGGCCGACATCCTAATGACGAGTCAGTATGAGAAGAGGATAGTGTGGATTGCGGGGAAGCTCTTACGATGGCGTAGTCACCACGGATGGTACCGGGGGCGGAGGCCAGGGGGTTGGTGGCACCGAGGATGGTACGGCCGGTCTTGACGACGTCCTTACCCTCCCAGACCATGGCGCAGATGGGGCCGCTCAGCATGTAGGCGACGAGACCCTTGAAGAAGGGCTTGGCGGAGAGGTCCTCGTAGTGCTTCTCGAGGTGCTCCTGGCTGGGGGTGGTGAGCTTCATGGCAACGAGCTTGAAGCCGCGGTTCTCGAAGCGAGAGATGATGGGGCCGATGAGTCCACGCTGTGGTTGGGGTCAGTTACTGAGTTCAATTGAGCGACCAATCTATCTTCCGTGATAAGATCGGTTCAACGGATGCTATATCCATACCTGGACACCATCGGGCTTGATGGCAATGAAACTAGAGCAAATTGTTAGCTTGACCGGACAATGAGGGGTAACGGCAGGGATGGAGTGAAGGGGAATTGGATAAAGGGCAAATTAAGGGAGAGCATAAAGAGCAAGAACGTACGTCTGTTCCTCGTTGGCGGACATTTTGAATATGAAACCAAAAAATGTATGTGGTATGAGGTGGAAAAAGAGGGAGGAGGTGGAAGATTAAATAGAGGGGCTTTTTTTCGGTGCTGTCACATCTGGGCCGATGATTGGCTGACAGGGGAGGACGGGTGTCTCACCTTGGTGCCTTATCGCCCGGTGGCCTTGGTGCCTTAGTGCCTGATGGTCAAGGTGTCCGGCCAGCTTGAAGCTGTTGACATCTCCACACTTTAGATGCGGGTCACATCATCACTCACACCCTCAGAGATTGAGAGTCTCTGGTTGCACATATTGTCTACACTATGGCCAGGAGTCAGCCTGCGCCCCGTTGGGCAGTCTTGCTCTCCTTGGTGATCCTCATTGGATGCATTGTCGTCCCCAGTTGTATGGTTTCTCTTTTCCCCTTCGGTCAAGCTTACAGACGGCTAATTTTGCATGCAGGGGCTGTCAAACACGGAGACTTCAAGACATGCGAACAGTCTGGATTCTGTAAACGAAACCGCGCATACGCTGATGACGCTTCTGCTCAAGGCTCATGGAACTCGCCATATGAGCTCGATCCCGCCACCGTACACTTCAAGGATGGCCTATTCACAGGTGTTCTCATCAAAACAACCACTGCCGACGAGAAGGTCCGGTTACCTCTCACGGTCTCTTTCTTGGAATCGGGAGCCGCTCGTCTGTTGGTGGATGAAGAGAAGCGACTGAAGGGCGATATTGAAATGCGACACGGTAGCAAGGCAAACAAGAAGCGTTATGATGAAGCTGAGCAATGGGTGCTCGTTGGTGGCTTGGAAGTCAGCAAGTCAGCTACATTGAATGCCCAGAGTGAAACTGGCTTCACCAATGTTCTATACGGACCTGGAGACAAGTTCCAGGCAGTCATTCGCCATGCCCCATTCGGGATTGATTTCCAAAGGGACGGTCAAACTCATGTTCAATTGAACGAGCGAGGCTTGTTAAACATGGAGCACTGGCGCCCAAAGGTGGATGGAAAGGAAGGTGAATCTGGCGAGGACGAAAGCACCTGGTGGGAGGAGACATTCGGTGGAAACACTGACTCCAAGCCCCGTGGTCCAGAGAGTGTTGCTCTTGATGTCACTTTCCCTGGTTACAGCCATGTGTTTGGTATCCCAGAGCATGCCGACTCGCTTTCGCTCAAGGAGACCAGGGGCGGCGACGGCAACCATGAGAACCCTTACCGTCTATTTAACTCGGACGTGTTCGAGTATGAGCTCGAGAGCCCAATGACTCTTTACGGTGCCATCCCGTTCATGCAAGCCCACCGCAAGAACTCGACTGTTGGTGTTTTTTGGCTCAATGCAGCGGAAACCTGGATTGATATTGTCAAGTCCACAACTACCCCCAACCCTCTATCATTGGGCACCAGCTCCAAGACCAACACTCAGACTCACTGGATCTCTGAGTCTGGCCGGCTTGACTTGTTTGTCTTCCTCGGTCCTTCGCCTAAGGAAATCAGTAAGACGTATGGCGAGCTCACTGGGTATACGCAACTTCCCCAGCAATTTGCCATTGGATACCACCAATGTCGCTGGAACTATGTTACGGATGAGGACGTGAAAGAGGTAAACGCCAAGTTTGACAAGTACCAAATTCCGTACGATGTGATCTGGCTTGATCTTGAATATACTGATGACCGTAAATACTTCACCTGGGATCCCCTCACCTTCCCTGACCCCAAGGGTATGCAGGAGAAGCTTGATGAGACAGAACGAAAGCTTGTTGTCCTCATCGACCCTCATATCAAGAAGGCGGATAACTACTATGTGTCCGACGAGCTCAGAAGCAAGAATCTCGCCGTACTGAACAAGGATGGCGATATTTACGATGGATGGTGCTGGCCCGGATCCTCAAACTGGGTCGACTGCTTCAACCCCGCTGCTCGCGTATGGTGGACAGCTCTTCACAAGTACGACAAGTTCAAGGGATCCCTCTCGAATCTTTTCATCTGGAACGATATGAATGAGCCTTCTGTTTTCAACGGACCGGACATGAGCATGCCCAGAGACAACCTGCACTATGGCAACTGGGAGCACCGTGATATTCACAATGTCAACGGCATGACCCTCTTGAATGCCACCTACGATGCCATGCTCCAGCGCAAGAAGGGCGAGATTCGCCGTCCATTCATTCTGACGCGCTCGTTCTACGCCGGCTCCCAGCGTGTTGCTGCTATGTGGACTGGAGATAACCAGGCCACATGGGACCACCTGGCGGCATCCGTCCCTATGGTTCTGACCAACGGCATTGCTGGTTTCCCATTCGCAGGTGCCGATGTCGGCGGCTTCTTCCACAACCCTGATAAGGATCTGTTGACCCGCTGGTACCAAGCCGGTATTTGGTATCCCTTCTTCCGCGCGCACGCTCACATCGACACTCGTCGCCGTGAACCGTATCTCATTAGTGAGCCGCACCGATCCTACATCGCTCAGGCCATCCGTCTGAGATATCAACTTCTCCCTGCCTGGTACACTGCTTTCCACGAAGCTTCAGTCAACGGAACACCGATTGTACGGCCCCAGTACTACGCCTTCCCAGATGACGAGCAAGGCTTCGCGATCGATGATCAATTGTACCTTGCCGCTACTGGTCTTCTCGTGAAGCCCGTTCTGACCGAGAATACTGAAACCGCGGACGTGTATATCTCCGATGACGAGAAATACTACGACTACTTCGATTTCACCGTCTATCAGGGTGCTGGCAAGAGACACACCGTTCCCGCCCCCGAGAACAAAGTGCCCGTCCTGATCCAGGGTGGCCACATCATCCCCCGCAAGGACCGCCCCCGTCGTAGCGCCGGTCTCATGCGCTGGGACCCATACACCTTGGTCATTACTCTAGACAAGAACCGCGAGGCCGAAGGAAGCCTGTACGTAGACGACGGCGAGACCTTCGATTACGAGCGTGGAGCTTACATCCACCGGCACTTCCACTACCGCGAGTCCGTCCTCTCCTCGGAAGACGTTGGCACCAAGGGACCCAAGACAGCTGAGTACCTCAAGACGATGGCCGGTGTCACCGTCGAGCGGGTGGTTATTGTCGACCCACCCGCCGAGTGGAAGAACAGGGAGACCGTGACCGTTATCGAAGATGGGGCCAAGGCGGGTTCCACGGCGTCATTGGAATTCTACGAGCAGCAGCTCGGACAGGCATCCTACGCCGTGGTGAAGAAGCCAGATGTTGGCATTGGAAAGACATGGCGTATCGAGTTCTGAGCAATTGGTCTCGGATTCGTACGATTTATGTATGCGATATAACAATATATTATCAAAATTGCTAAGCTGCATGTAATCCGCGGCTATTTGAGTACTCATATATGAACAGTATCTCATTCGATATATACAACTCAGTAGGACAACCCTTCCATCATTTAATTTCCATGCGCCTCGACCCAAACCAAAAATTGCTCGCCCATACTAGCTTCAGTAGCGACCAACTTCAACTCACCACGAGGACTAATTTCCCACACAATCTCATTCTCCTGCTCTTGTTTGGTTCCCTTCTCGTAAACGTTGGACATATCCCTTTGCTGGCCAAGGAAATCAGGATATGAGTCTCTGAAGTCTGCCAAAGCGGCCTCGTTCGCCTCCTCTAGTGTATCAAAGATTCCTTCGATTTCGGGTTCCGACATGTCGGGGTTCTCGTTGAAGACGACGAATTTGTAGGGGATTGGGAATTCTGCGGTGCGTTCACGCTGGGTAGGTTCGTGGTAGGCCGCCTTCACTCTGTCCAGGATGTCCTGGGGCCATTCAGGTGTAGAGTCTTTGGGTTTTCATTAGCCATGCTTTGATATGTTGGGATTACCGGGGGGATGATACAACTCATGTTTGCGAATAGCGCGGGGCTTGTGTCGAATAGTGATAGTAGGAGAAATTTGCGGTTCAGATGTAATGCCAGATATATTGAGGATCTATCAGAGAAAAGAGGGCGTCTCCAAGTTTATATCGTTGATTGAAATTGATCAATCGCGATATCGCGAAGCCGCGCGGGGACAAACTCGCGACGATCTGCGCCGCTATGACGCCGTTTGCCAGCAACCATTTATTTTGTTTATCGGTGTGTAACACCAATAATATCTCTAGTCACTCTGTTTAATCCGTTGCCCTGAATTCGAGGGTTGGTCCTAACAGCTTTGTTACTGATATCACGAGGATTCAATCACTTCTACTGTATACTGTACTCCCTGGAGCATAGAGACGGTAGATTCTTCTTAGAACCCGTTCAAGGCTAAGTACAGTAATGCTTATGACACGCAATACGGGGGAAGTCGATGTAGCTGCGCTCTGTTTTACAAAGCATTTTATAGTTCCATGTCAACACAACCATACATCTTACCCCGAAAACATACAACAACAATCGAGAACCAAGACATTTACAATAATTAACTGAACTTCGCAAGACCGTAAATCAGCCAAAAACAAAACAAATCACCTCGTGCCAAGTAGATTAAACAAATTAAACGCTGGAGTGATCGACACGCTGACATAAGCCAAGACCCTGAAAAAGCCGCATGCGTGTCGAAGTGTACCTTTTTTCTGTTTTTTTGGGATTCCCCTGTCGCGACAGTCTCTGTGGAAGTCGCCTTATTCAAACCTTCAACGTACCGGCTCGGCTTCCATCTCGTCTATAGGCCCTGACCCGCGGAGGTCCATCGCCGATATGTATCTCATTTCGGCTGCCATTGACTTGGCCGCGCCCGTCTTGTAAGTCGGCTTCGACGAGTTCCGGATCTATTCGCAGACGTTCAATGCTAATGAAGCTCGTCTACAGCCTCGTCACCTCCCCCCTCACATCCTACGCCGACCAAATCGTAAGCATTCATCGGTCAAGAAGCTCGACGGGCTTCTCTTTGGACATTCCCCTGATTATGCTTGTTTCTTCGATCTTGAAGTAAGCCTCTGCTGTCCTACGCGTCGAATTCCGAGATCGAAGATTAATGTTGACGTTATCAGGGTTTTCTATTGGTTTGGAGAGTACTATTCAGCCACTTTGTTGACCCAGGCGGTCGTCATGATTGTGGTGCAGATGACTATGCTCAAGGTTGCATTGGATAATCGGCCTTCTCCTGGTGGTCTGAATGGGATTGAGCATGCGCCTTTCAGTAGTGGCTCTGACAGTGGCTCCTCAAGGCCTTACGAATTTTGGCAGTGGAAGAACACTAAGCCGTAAGTTGGAGAGCACACAGGAAGTCCCGCGGACATTGAAACTGATTATACACTTTACAGGTACTACATGTTCCTCGCTTACTTCGTCGGAGCCCTGACTTTTATCCACCTGAGCCCGATCTCCCAATTCGAATCCTATATCAGCCTCTTGGGTTACATCGGACTTGCCGTCGAGGCCACCCTTCCCATCCCACAAATCATCGCCAACTACCGATCAGGCTCATGCAAGGGCTTCCGGGTCTCCGTCATTGCAGCATGGATTCTCGGTGACACCATGAAGATGAGCTACTTCTTCTGCAGCACGGAAACTATCCCATGGGCCTTCAAGCTGTGCGGCATGTTCCAATGCGCGTGCGATTTCTACCTGGGCTTCCAGTTCTATATGTTCACTCGGGGCTCCTCACTCTCACACTCTCGGGGCCCCTCCCAGACCGCGGGCAGGTCGGAACAGGATGGCCGTTGGGGCCACGAGGCGAAAGATATCCGCATGAACTGACGTGGAGCGTTTTGCATGGATTAGACATGTAGATAGAAATTGGCGACCATATAGACAAATAATTGGAATGAGATAATGTCATAACGTGTTTTGCCTCTTCTATACTTCCAAAGCTTATGCGGAGTTAAGCATTTCCGCGTCTGGGAATTGCCCCGCGATATCGTCGACTTGGACATGCGCTTCTCCTTATTCTCCGCGGAACTCCGGACAATCTCTGTTTATTCTCTGTTGAATTAGCCAACTAGCCGATACTGTTTTCTCATAATGGCTACTCCCACAATTCGCATCGGCTATGTGCCCGGTACGCCTACCTACCCCTCCATAGCTCAAGCTCGACGCCTGCTTTGCAGCCGCACCTTTTCCAGTTGCTGGCCAGCTTCGTACAGGTTGAAGTACCTCGAGGAATGCGCGCTAACAATGGTTTTTCTGGTTACTAGAGCACTATCTCACACCACTCCACCTCGCCCTCCGTTCCCCAGCTGTCGCAGCCCTCCCATTCAAGATCGCGCTGACCCCATTCCCCTCCGGAACGGGTCATATGATCACCTCTTTGCGCGGCAATGAGATTGATATTGCCATCGGTCTGACCGAGGGCTGGGTCGCCGGTCTAGCAGGCAAGGCACAGCAACTAAGCCAGAACGCAGATGGCGGATACAAGGTTGTGGGCCACTGGGTTGACAACCCATTGCGGTGGGCTATTGTGACAGGCCGCAACCGGGACGAGATTAACGGAGTTTCGGACTTGAAGGATCAGAGGGTTGGAGTTAGCCGGTTGGGAAGGTAAGATCAGAATTGGCAAGAGATTGGGTGAATACCAGGCTGACCGAGAACCTTGCAGCGGCTCGCACATCATGTCTTTCGTCCTTGCCCAGCAGCAAGGCTGGAAGGCAGACTCTCTTACAACTGTTCCTCTTGGACCCTTCGGGCCTCTGCGCGATGGAGTCTCCGGTCTGGATGAATCGCAACCCGAGAAGGCAGCTAACCCCTCAGCGGAGTTCTTCATGTGGGAGGAATTCACCACAAAGCCATACTTCCACCCGACATCCGAGAAGCCGAACCCGCCTCTGAAGAAGATCGGCGAGATCTTTACTCCCTGGCCTTCGTGGATGATTGTCGCTTCTACGGCTTTGTTCCCTGATCCCGAAAACGACCAGCGACTGGCCAGCCTCTTCCAGGCCCTCGATCAGGGTGTCAGGGATTTTGAGGCTGATACGGCGCAGGTTGTTAAGCTTTTGGGCACTGGCGAGCTTGGCTGCAATTACATTGAGGAGGATGCTACTGAGTGGTTGAAGGATGTCAAGTTTACTAACAGCACTCGTGGTGTTGATATTAAGGTTATTGAGGGTGTTGTTGATGTGCTCAAGGTTGCTGGTGTTATTGATCCGGCTATGAGCAACGAGGAGGCTATTCAGCGGGTTATTGGGATTAAGAGGTAGATAAAGATCTTGCGGAAGTAGAAAAGTAATACGAAGAGACATCGTAAATACCAAGTTCGTGAAATCGAAACCGTGATATATCGCCTATAAAAGACTCTCAATCCACAATGATGGATAGTAGAGATGCAGTCAACAATGCGAGATAACTATAATTCGAGACATTAGCCCATACTTCGTAGTGACCCCTATATCAGGTCTACTAAAGCCAATAAAGATTAGAGTTCGCTACGATTTCTCCTTTAATTCAAAAATGAAGGGGAAAAAAGCCACAAAGAGAGCTGTCGCAGGCAGTATACCATTCCACTGCGCCAGAAAATGACCTTGCTTGCCATCCAAAATGATAGGCCAACCCCATAGTCCCATATCCATAGTACATGTATGTAAGAAGATATAACAGCAATGAGATCTCCGAAATGGAGCCCCGAAAAAAGGAGTCACTTGAAACAAGATATGCATTCCTATGGCGGGATGACCCCTTGCACCCTTACCACGGGATATTCAAGGTGTAGGTATGTGTATACCCCTACATAGCTCTATTCCAGGGGACAGATATTTGGTCTTCTTTGGGATGTTGTAGCTGTGATCAGGGTCCATGTTCCATGGTGTTATTTCTGTAGTAGAGATGTTGCCTTGTTGCCTGCATCGGATCATATGAGGCGTTGGTTTGTAATTTAATCTGAGAATAGTTTGGTATAACAAAATTGAAATGAAGGGTGCTTACACATTGAAACAGACGATTTCATACTTGTCATTGGTTTCAGGAGCTGTCTTTTCGGTAAGAAGTACTTGTGGTCCAGTGTATACTGAAGTTGTTGGCTACGGTGCTGTTTAATTTCACCCAGCCATGGATCTCACAATTTTCTTTAATAGACGACATTCTCAGTTGGTTTTAGAGGGAAATTGCAGTAAGTATCTCCTTATGTTTAATTTAATCAACGAAAATAGGTATACAAATTTTATAACTCGGTTGTGGGTGTATGTATATATCCACACCAATTCAATATATACCCATTCAGATTGAGCTCAATTCACTGGGGGTATTTGATTTTTCAGCAGTAACGCAATATTGACGAGTCGACACTTGAGTGCGCAGTCTACCAAACTATATAGAAATAAGAAATTCGTTAATCTGGTCTGAAACAGTGTATAGGCTCGCGGGGGACAGACGGACGGGAGAACCAAAGCCAACAAGAAGACAGGGATATAGAATCTGAGGCATTGACAGTCCAGCTCGGGTCCATTATCTGGCCTAGAGCCCCATTCTACAGAGCAAGCCTGCTCCTCCCTCTCTACATTCTCGAATCTGCCCCGGGTCCCCTGACAACAACATCGGAATGCGCACCAAGTTGCAAACACCCTTCAGGACCCAATCAAATTATGCCATCAGGGATTTTTCACACATTACATCTGCTCAGGGTCTTTTTTTGCAGGTCCAAGCTTTCCCCGTTCGACTGCTGGCGTGTACAGTGTGGGTCATACCATGCGCGTAGAGCCCCAAGTGACGCAGTTGAGTGGTGGAACGCAACCATTTGTTTTTATAATTTGATGAGCAAAATAACTCAGCTATGCTATTTAATGGCACTTGATGCTAGATCCTCTTTCAGACTGGTGTTCTGACTTGTCCACGTCGTCGGCAGCCCTATACAAGCTATAATCGATTATACTAATATAGCCCTTAATAGCTAATACCCTCCCAACGGGATAATACCGCCTTAATATGCGTCGGTCCCAAACTCTTCTATCTTGCTCTCTCCTGCTGGCATCCCTCGGGGGAGTGCAGGCGAAGCTTGACTTGAAATCTACCAAGAACATTGTTGTTTACTGGGGTAGGTGACCTGGCTTTGTATATCTCGAGTGATTCTAATTGAATTCTCTTACAGGACAAAACTCTTTCAGGGGCAAGGGTGACCAGGCACAACAGCCCTTGTCGTATTACTGTGACAGTGAGTGAAACGGATTCTACAATTACGACGATGAAACTAACAAGGGCACTAGATGCTGACATTGATGTATGCATAAAAGCGCGATGCTTAGGAGATATTGAGCTGACAGAACCCTCTAGGTCATTCCAATGGCCTTTAATATGATGGTCAATGGCCCTGGAGGTGCACCCGAGATCGACTTCGCGGTGAGCAGCGAAGATTGCCAGGTGTTTGAGGGAACGCAGCTGAAGAACTGCCCCAAGATCGGGTGAGTTTCGTTGGCACAACTGGCAGCACGCCAGTCCACTGATAGCTTCTAGCAAGGACATCGCGACCTGCCAAAAAAAGGGCAAGACAATTCTTCTCTCCATTGGTGGCGCCACATACAGCGAAGGCGGCTTCAAGTCTGAGACCGATGCCAAAGACGGCGCCAAGTTGATGTGGGAAACCTTTGGTCCCAAGCAAGAAGGCTCCAATGCTCTTCGTCCCTTCGGTGACTCTGCCTTGAACGGATTCGACTTCGACTTCGAGGCCAATGTCCAGCACATGGCTACTTTCGCCAACGAGCTCCGGTCCCTGATTGAGGCCGACAAGAGTGGCCAGGACTTCTTCCTGACTGCTGCACCCCAATGCCCTTATCCTGACCAGGCTGACAAGGACATCCTCAACGGTCCTGTCTATATTGACGCCATCTGGGTCCAGTTCTACAACAACTACTGCGGTGTCAACGCTTATAGCCCCCAGAGCTCCGCCAACCAGTACAACTTCGAGGAGTGGGACAACTGGGCTCACACAGTGTCGAAGAACAAGGACGTCAAGGTCATTGTCGGCGTACCAGCAGACACCACCGCGGCCAGCACTGGATACATTCCATCCTCGGAGCTGGCCAAGGTGATCGAGTACTCGAAGAAGTTCGACAGTTTTGGAGGAGTTATGATGTGGGATGCCACGCAAGCGTACGGCAACGGAGCCTTCATTAAGGATGTGCGAAAGGCCCTGGGAGGCGCTGATGATACCGGTTCGTCGTCGTCCAGTTCGGCGTCGACCTCGGCGCCTTCTACTTCGTCCACTGACTCATCGAATACCTCGTCATCATCTACCAATGCACCCGGCTCCTCACCCTCATCTTCCTCCTCCTCTGCTGCTTCCTCATCGTCCAGTGGTCCTGAAACCACCACCACCACCGAGGAGGCCACGCCGACCCCGACCGAGTCCCAACCGACTACGACCGCGCCCCCAGAGTCGGCCGCGACCCCAGAGACGACCGCGCCCCCAGAGTCGGCCGCACCCCC